AATGATAGGAAAAATATCCTACCTGGAGTCTGTTTCACAAAGTAATAATTCCTGAGAAGAAATTGTCTGAGCAGAATTTGCTCCTTACTGATGGGGTATGTAGGAAATGAAGATAATTCATCCTATTGTACAACATCTATCGGGTTCCAGTTGTAAAGTTCAGTTTTGCTGGGACTAAATTATATATATTCTTATATTTTAAATATACAGGGTGTTTCAAAAAATTTGATATCCTTTGAGATGTAAATATCACAGAAAGTCCATGATTAAGGCAAATGAAATTAAAAAGTATTAATGTTGAAGATCATAAGATTTATTCTTCCAAATCTGAATGAGAAATTCAAAAGCATGTGGATTATGTGAACACACAAAACGCCTTTTCTCTTCTAGTAAATAACATTTTTTATACCTGTAAAGAAAAAGATTAAAGATTAAAGAACATAAAAATACAAATAAGAAAAAGACAAAAACATAAAGACATAAAAACATAAAACAAACATTAAACATAAAGATGCTATTAAAATTTGAAGTCATTTGAAGGAGATCTAACAAAGTTATTAGATTGCAAAATGATATCAAATTTTTTGAAACACCCTGTATATTCGGTATTCTTACCATTGATGATTAATACTTTCTTTTCTTTTTCCTTTACGACTTTATCAAGTATCTCCATTATTTTGTGTCTGCTATTAACACCGTGCCATGAGCTTATCATTGTCAAGTTTGTGCCCACCAATAAAAAAATCCTGATAGGAGTTGTATAAAAAATCCGTTGATTGGATACTTAGTAAAGCTCTAAAAGATCAACTCTCCAGTTTTTGTTTTTTTTTTTTTACATTGTTCGTACTATCGTCCTCATCTTTGTTGCCATATTTCCCACAGCGTTTCGGTCGTTGTATGCTCTGGCCTTCTTCAGGTGGTTGAAATGTCGAACTGAACACTTTATTTCGCACGCTGGGGTCGACTGTTCTAGTTCCACGTGCCATGTCTAATGGATGTCATTTATCAGTTATCTCCTTTCCTGGCACAGTGGATAAAGGCGTTAGTTAGATCCAGTGACAGGACCCAAAGAGTGTGAGTTCAATACCTGGTTAAGACGGTGAAGAACTTGGAGAGGGGAATTAACAGGAGATAACTGATGACTGACATCCATTAGACATGGCACTTGGAACTTGAACAGTCTAGCCCAGTGAGAGAAATAAAGGGTTCAGTTCGACATTCCAACCACCTGAAGAAGGTCGAAGCGTACAACGGCCAAAACGTTGTGATAAATATGGCAACAAAGATGAGGACGATAGTCCTAACAATGGAAATAGGGTACATAATACCTCATCTCAGAAATATAGAGAGATACACTCCAGTTTTTGTCTGCTTTATACTATATACTATATATATATATATATTATATATACTACTATAAATATAAATATTAAATATAAATAAACTATATATACTACGATAAATATTTATTATATATTTATTTTATATACTAGTATAAATATACTACATATACTACGATAAATATATACCACTATGACTCTGCATCGAGTAACACTAGTATATATAAATAAACTATATATACTATGATAAATATTTATTATATATTTATTATATATACTAGTATAAATATACTACATATACTACGATAAATATATACCACTATGACTCTGCATCGAGTAACACTAGTATATATAAATAAACTATATATACTATGATAAATATTTATTATATATTTATTATATATACTAGTATAAATATACTACATATACTACGATAAATATATACCACTATGACTCTGCATCGAGTAACACTAGTATATATTTAGAGAAACTAGAACTCAGAGCCAATCAATAATCTACAGCAGGCGCCCAGTTCATGTGTGCTTTTAAGTACTTGCAAAATACGTGTAATTATTTAATAATTTTAGACTAGCCTTATTTATAATAATACGGCATTTTAATAACGATCTGGCCGTGTGCACGGCAATATTTCAAGAACAACGAAAAAATAACAATTTGAAAAGTAATAGCAGTAACTTTCTGAAATATGACTGTTCCTTACTTCTGAAAGAAAATGGTGGATTATTAAGTAGACTACAAAGAAAAAAAAGAGTTATTTGAAAGATACGTTGATGCTAGAAATGATGAGGATTAAGCTGATGGAAGACAAAAGAATGTTTGTTATAATCCTTTAAAAAAATTAAGATATGTCTAACTGAATTATTGTAACTTAAATACGTCCATGTCTCTGTCAAAACAGCATTTATTCTTAACTACTTTACTCGTATCATCAAAAACCTACGCCAATATTTAATTTTGCAATTGAACTTATTTATATTTTATGTATGAGTAATCTAGGAATTTATCAATACATTTAATTCTATTGTTGCATGTTACAAAGAATTTTATTTTTAAATCATTAGAGGTAAAAAAAAATGACTGTGTACGTAGCGTAACGCTTATCAGCATAGACAGTAAATCGACGAGGCGAGTTCAAATTTCGACCGAGTCTGATATGTTCACCTTCGCACTAGTGTTCTTGGAAAGATATGAAACTCATTTCCCATCATCTATGAGTTAAATAGCAGATTAGACTGGGCTTGTATAGCAACCAGTCATGGAGAATGATTTATCTGAATTCAAGACCACGGAGTAAGTAATTGAAAAACAACTCACCGTCTTTCCCAAAATATGAGGGCAATTCACATATAATAAAAAATGAATCAGTGCCGTGCCATGTTTGCTCACCTTTTGAAGGAATATGTCGTATTTAAAAAAAAAATCTATCCAAAAAAGCTCAGAGAAATGAAAACAAATAAGAATAAATAAATAAAAAATAAATAAATAAGAATAAATAAAGAAATAAAAAATAAAGAAATAAAGAAGTAAAAAATAAATAAATAAAAACAAATAAAAAATAAAGAAAGAAAGAACGAAAGAAAGAAGTGTTTAATGTCTGTTTCAGTGAAATGGAAAAAGCTGGCAATTTCAATTTTTTTTTCATTTGTACCCCCTTTATAAACATTGCAACCAGCATGATTGTCATTGCAATATTTTGATAAAATTAAGTACAAATATTTAACGATGCGATCGGGGAATTTCTACGGATATTTTATTTTCGTAAAACGCGCCATGATCTTATTCAATCATTAACTGAAGAATTAAGATTCACCAGAAAATTCAATTTAGGAACCCATTAAATTTTCACGGGTCTTTCTAGTTTTGGTTAAATTTGTTTGGTAATATTTCTTGTTTGGCATGAAAAAAAATTCCAAATAGAAGCAGCTTAATTCTTTTTTTTTTTATTATCGATTGCTACGAAGTTTACGTTATCACAGCCACAATAAGGGTACCCAATGAGGACCGACTTTATTAGTGATAATAGTCCGACAGATTATCATAATGATAATGGGCAACTTGACGTGGTGTAATGGTTAGCAAGCCTGTCTCGCTAGAACAATTATGACTGAGGCCTTGTACCACGTATATTACCGTAATAATTATTGATCCATAGAGAAGTACCGTACATATTTACCATGCTTAACTCAAACTAACGCACGTCTACAAGAGAGTTATATACCGTGAAGATCACACTATGTATTAGATTACAAGTCTGGTGTAGTAACTATTGCATAAAGATAAACTGAGCGTGGTGTTTAGCTTATTGACAATGTTTTTTTATGTGTTGATAAAATAAATTATTACCTATTTTTAAACAAAAAAATTTACTGCTCTGAGAGAAGTAATGCACTAATTAAGATATTCCTCTCAGATTAAAGTAACAAAAGTTAAACACATTGTTAGAATGGCGTACGTGTTTAAGTAACGATACCCCACTGAATTCCTCTCAGGTTTAAAAAATAGTTCTATTTAATTTGTAAACATCGCTACTGAGTATTGTTTTCATTGCGATAGAAATTCTATGATAATGAAACTTCTTGAATTCCCGGGTGTCGTCCAGTATTTTAATAAATGAAAAAAGAAGCTCTGTCATTTGAGTTTTGGCTACCTTGATGTTAGTATCGCTTTCTCTGTCTGTAAATTGGTCCGTTGAGGCTTTCAGACATTATACCTTCATCACCGCTGGAATGAGTTTCTCTCTGTTGTGTTCTCGACGATGCTTTGTTCGTTCAGTACGGTGATCGCCTGGGAATTTCTAATCGATTTACTTGACAGGCTTTAATTATTTTGTCGATAACATCAAATCTGATCGTCTTTCTTCGACGACATCTCGAATAAATTTTCAGATTCTTTTTGCAATTTAAAACTCGTTTTTCTTTCTTAATTTTCCAACCTGATTGTTTTGTTTCGGCTTAGCATAAGCAGATGTCGTTTGATATTTGAAGATTAGGAAAAGTAATGTTCGGGGCAATTTTCCTTTTTCTTTATAATATTGCAAAATTCATTCTGGTTTTAAGTTTCTGAAATCACGAAAGAACGTGGGAAGTGGATTTATTCTGCAATTGCATCAACGCTTACAATTATTTTTGTCCGCACAGAAATAATTAGACAGTCCGACTGGAAATAACTTTAGGTTTACCTCCTTTTGGCAAAAATTCATTTTGAATTAACCTTGTAAAACCTATTCTCTCCTAAGTTTGTATACATACATACATACATACATACCTACATATACGACGATAGACATTACTTTGTAGTAATCAAAGTTAGAAATATGTTCTCTGGCCATTTTAACGCATACACACGTACACCAATCACACAGACATATAATTGATTGATTCATTTTCTACGGCTTATCACACTTTTGCAGCTGATTTAATCAACAGAAAATATTTCAGATTGTAACAATAATTTTTAAAATAATGATTTAGTGATACAAGTCTTGCTAATTAACCCATACTTGGGGGAGAAAAGGTGGATTCGTACCATTCTCAAGGCTATTTGCAAGTAAGCGAATATAACGAACGCAACAGGAATTGGTACTTTACACTCCGATTAACAATTCCATGCCATTGCGTTTATACCACCCGAGCATGCTGGCTTACAGTATTTGGTTTTCCCAGGCGCACACCCATCTAGGTACTGACCAGGGTTGATATTGCTTAACTTCGGTGATCGTACGAGAACGTGTGTTTCGACGTGATATGGCCGTAAGTCAATACACGCATATAGAAATGTGTGTGCATATATATTTATATATACATGGGGAAATAGTGTTGGCTGTCCAAGTTGTCTGATAGATTCCAGTCTTTGTCTGATAGATTCCAGTCGTTAACTTCTGTACAAGGCTAAAATTAAACACACACACACACGTGTGTGTGTATTCGTGTGGTGGGCGCGTTAAAACGATCTCAAACTGACAAAGTTGTCTTTTTCCCTATAAACTCAATATTTTGTGGGTACACGTGTTTGAGTAGACACCGTGTTGTTTTAAACATTGAAATTAATGTCAAACAGCCAAGACATCCGTACCTCCCAACAGAAACATATGCTTTGTAGCTGCTAGTAAATTCTGTTCAAGTAAATTTCTTTTTAAGTTCTAGTGTTTTTAAACTTATATTCATTCAAGCAAAAACATTTCATGCTAGGCATGATAACTACGCTAAGTTTTTGTATACTACAAAATTCACATACAGGCAAATAGTTAACCACCAAACTGGGGTTAAAACACTATCAAAGTGTAAAAATATGTTTTAATACCGGCAATAAATTTTTTGGAAAAATTATTACCAGCAATACATTATTACCAACGGTAACATTTTTAGGAAAAAAATATTACCAGAAATTCATTTTTGAAGAAAAAATATTATCAGCAATACATTTTTGAAGGAAAAATATTACCAGCAAGACATTTTTGTAAATAATTATTACCAGTTAGGCAATTTCGGGGAAGAAAAAAAAGTATTACCAGCAATACATTTTTGAGGGAAAAAAATATTACCAACAATATATTTTTGAAGGAAAAAATATTACCAGAAATACATTTTTGTAAATAATTATTACCAGCATTACATTATTACCATAATACATTTTTTGGGAAAAAAAGGATGTCAATCGTCTTCTACTGTTTTCTTGATTAATCTTGTATGGTTCTCGGTCCTTAATAACGTCAATCGTTCAGTTCAGTGCCACACATGATATACGCTTGGGCGATCATGTATATTTCGATACATGACTAATAAGCACTTTTTACATTATTCGGACTATTGTCGCCATATTTATTACAACGTTTTGGCCGTTGTACGCTCCGGCTTTCTTCGGGTGGTTGGAGTGTCGAACTGAACCCTTTATTTCGCTCTCTGGGTTAGAATGTTCTAGTTCCACGTGCCATGTCTAATTATCAGTTATCTCCTGCTTAATTCCCTCTCCAAGTTCTCCACCGCCTTAACCAGGTATTGAACTCACATTCTTTGTGTCCTGTTTCTGGATCTTACTAACACCTTTAACCACTGTGCCATGTGTCCCTTCCCAAATGCTCTGCACTGTCCTCAGATTGACACCGAAACATTCTGAAATTTTCGTATTAGAGCTTCCCGTGCGAATGATAAACAGTGCAGCATGCTGTTTCCAACTTTCTGGTGGAGTGAATTACGTCATGGTGCTCTTTTTTTCACGGCCTTTGCCCATTTGACCCTATCGTACTCTGTAGTCGACAAAATAAAAAACAAACAACGTCTATGTGCAAAATTAAAAATATAAAATGGTGGCAATTTACCCTTCGCACCCCATGTGTGTGTGTGTGTGTGTGTGTGTGTGTGTGAATGTATGTTTAAATTTATTTTTATGGACTTGTCTTTATTTTTTTATTTTTTAATATCGTATGTATTTTAAAAGCAAGAACATACATACACATATATATATATGTGTGTGTGTGTGTGTGTGTGTGTGTGTGTGTGTGTGTGTGTGTGTGTGTGTGTGTGTGAGTATTATTTATTGTAGTGATCATCATTGAATGATGATCACTACAATATTTGTCTTGAAATAAACAACATCTGGATGATGACACTGCGCTACGTCGAAAGTACTCGGAATAACATAATATGTATCGACAGGGCGATTTTTTGTCTTCCTTTGATAATGAGACCAAAAATCTTGTCTAAGAATATGAAAAGAGACAACTGAAAGTAGACAATTTTTTTCTAAATTATTCAATAAAACCTATCTCACTATATATATATATATATATATATATATATATATATATATATATATATGGTGATGATTTCGTAACTGATAAATCATTACCATTCTTGTTTCCGCCTGATAGTTCTTCCCTTAGTAGTAGTAGTAGTAGTAGTAGTAGGCAAGTGCCATACGTGATACATGCTTGGGTGATCGTGTCTCTTTCGCCTCATGACTGACTCGGTAGAAGGCTTTCCCGCGGTAAGCTGTCGTTTTTTCTGTGGTAGAAGTATTGCCAACCAAGGCTATAGGTCACAGTCTGTCCTGCTATTCATCCTATAGCTGGGGAGAGAAGAGATAAAGTAAATAAGTAAATGTAATGAACTTGACTGAAATTCGAAGTCTGCTCCCCGATTTCTCATTCCGAACTTCCTTTAGAAAACTTATAAGCTTATCATATTTATTTGACAATCTCATGCGAATACTGGAAATAACAAAGAAGGCATCTTACTCCCGCCAAAGTGACCTCAAATTATTACGATTTCTTTACTTGTTATGACATTATTCTTGATTTCATTTGCTTTTCAATCTAATTACACAAACCGTCTTTCTATGACCTTTAAGAACGCTGATCGGAAAAAAGAAAATTGCTTTGGGCAATTGTCAAATCCCTTTTTTCCTCGGGAAACTTATCTTAGATGCTCTACGTCTTGAGCTACAAAAGCCAATGATTGGAGATGATCACATCCAACTATATAACTGTATTCTTTATTTATTCCAAACGATCGGCGCCGCCAGACTTGAGGCTTTACAGCCACATATAATATCAATCTTCTGTGTGGCTTCAGAACGTGGACGAGGATGGCTCTACGCAATTTCCTTTCCTTTGTAGCCTTTAATAAAGTTGGTCTTTTTAGTTATAACTCCCAATTCTTGTTCTGTCAACAAGCTCAGTGGCACAACCTCATTAGGTTGTATATGCACTCCTTTCCTCTGTCAATACGTCCTGTGAATGTTAAATTTTCCATGACCTCTTTCCTCATTATGTGTTTTAAAAATTCCAACTATCTCTTCCTAAAACTTCGTCGTTGCTCACGTGTTCAACGCATCGTATTTCCAATATCTTTCTGTAGAACCACATTTTTGTTTTACCTCAAGTCTTTTCATCTGTGATGACATTGTTTAGCATTCACTGCTATATAAGAGGACTGATATTACATAACAGTTCAGTACTATTTTCTTTGTTTCTAATGAATATTTCCTGCTTCTTTATACCTTGCTTACCTTTTGAAAGACATCTTTCGCTATCCAAACTGGTTCCCATACGATAACCGAAGTTAAAGTTTGGTGACCGCATAGGAATACCACTTGCCGTACACTTAAATGTGAGGGTGGTATAATGAACAATGACTCGGAATTGTTAATCGGAGAGCTGAGTTCCAATTCCAGTTGGGTCCTTTATAGTAACTTACGTGCAAATATAGTTGGAAACGGTATGAATTCATTTCTTCTCCCCCAGCTATGGGTTAATTTCTAAGACTTTCATCACTAAGTCATTATTATCTAAAAACAAAAAGTCTTCTTTTTCTTCTTTTTTTTTAAGCGTTTCACCCCAAGCAAGACGGGAAGACACTAGGACGCAAGGGGTTACAGAAAATTTGGAGCAAGATCAGATAGGAGTGATAAAAGAAAGGATGAGGAGAATGGTAGTGGATAGATCAAGGCAACTAGAGATGTCGATTGACATTACATTTGAATAGCTGGAGATTATAGCTCTCAGGAAAACTGGAATAGGGAAGGGAATTCCATAGGCGAGAGGTGCGAGACATGAAGCTCTTGGAGTAGAAGAGACGGCTACATTTAGGAGTTTCGACAGTGAGGGGGTGAGAGCGGGATGCCAGCCTCGTAGGGCGCTTGAACTCATGAAGTCTGAGAACCAGCGAATGCAGCTCCTCGGAGCAATTGCCATGAAAGTATTTGTAAAAAAGACAGAGAGAGGCGACGGCGCGTCTGTGAGAAAGTGACTGTAGACAAGATCCCAGAGCAGGGCCAATTATATTTCATATCCGTCTTTGGAACCTATCAAGAACCCCGAGGCAAACAGAAGGGGCTCCAGACTATATATGGCAGCAATACTCCATGCAAAGGCGAATTGTTGATTTGTAGATCTGGAGGATCGATTCCGGGGAGAAAATTTTCCTGGCACGGCTCAGTGAGCCAACTTTCCTTGCGGTGGACGAAGCAATTGACTCAATGTATTTGTTCCATCTCAGGTCAGCCGTCAACATGAGACCAAGCAGCCGCAGAGAGTTGCTCTCGAGAAGTTGAGCATCAGACATTCTAATGGAAGGCAGGGAAGGATCTCTGTGGTGATTAATAGAGAGCAGTTTTGTTTTTGAAGCATTAAAGTTGACCAGCCAATTCCTGCCCCAGTTCACAACCGATTGGAGGTCCTTTTCGAGACGAACGGGCCAGGTGAGTTTTGTCAGTGGCACTAGATTTGTTTTTGAGGCAGGAATAAATTGTGGTGCCACCCGCGTAGATGCCAACTTGGGGATTTATGGCGTCAGGAAGGTCAGTTATGTAGATAAGGAATAGGAGTGGGGCCTAGGATGGAGCCTTGAGGAACACCTGCGTTCGTGGGATAGGAACTGGAGGAGAATCCGTTGAGAATGACCTTCAATTCACGTAAAAATATTATCTGGCTTTAAATAACCTGCAAAAGATTGATATAACCATAAAAAAAAATTCAATCATGCTTTTGTTTCATTGTGGTGTTTTCAATTTGTAATTCGTATGTTGGGCTGTTTTTTGTTTTTTTTTAAATTTTTTCAGGGGGGGTCTCTGACAACAATACATTCTCTCTTCTTACAGTTAATGTTTAGTCCTTTCTTCTCGCTTTCTTTTATTACCTTACTAGCAGTAAATCCCGGCGTTGCCCGGGGATGTAACAGTTAAGAGATAGATCAAGTATCGACCATCATAAAGACTGAAAAATAAAATTGACAAAGATTATTGTTTAAGGTTGATGGACACACAAGTCTTAATTAGTTTTTTTTTGTTTTGTTTCGTTTTTTTTTTTTTTTTACAAATTGGTCAAACTCAAACAAAAACATTGTTTTCAATCGTAATGAGTCTACCGATTGAATAGAATTTTATTATAAACAATTGTCTTGTAAATGGAATTTTTAAAGCATTCTGAATGTAAAAAAAAAGAAAAAGTGTGCAAGACAATAAGAAACACTACCTACCAAAAAAAAAGGTGAAGTTTTGTTGAAATCGGTTGAAAAATGTAGGAAATCCGATCACATATATAAACGAACACACACACACACACACACACACACACACAAACAATCTGGGTTTTATAATAAGTATAACTCGATATGAGTAGTCCCCCTTTCATTCCCCCCGATGTCTCTTAATCGTGTTTTCAAATTAATTTCGTGCAAAAACAATTGTGTTTTTCCAATTTTTGGCGCTGTCAGAACTGCCGCAAGGTAATTTTACGTAGTCCTGTGAAGTTTTGTTGAAATCGGTTGAAAAATGTAAGAAATCCGATCGAATATATAAACGTACACACACACAGACACACAACCTGGGTTTTATAATAAGTATGATGTAGGAGTTCTTGTAATTATCGTTGTGTCTGCTTCCAACGGTTCATCATCTGCATATTTAATGTTATTAACATTATGGCCGCCAATAATGAATCCTGGTAGGACTTCTAATTCTCACAAGATTGGCTCACTGTATAAGTTGAATAATTCGAAATAGTGATATTAAAATATAACTTCCGCGCCATGCTTTTTACTAATCGACATAAAATAATGATTTGCTCGATGGAAAAGCAGCTGAAATGAGAAGGAAGTACATACAATAACTATTTACAAGGTTTCATCTAATAATACAAGATGCGGCAGAAATACCTCCCACATATTAGAAAGACATTACTACCAATAGTGTCTTCGTCAAGCTAATATTTTACTATTATATGAGACGTATTTCTGGGAGGTCTATTTGGGAGATATTTCTGACGCACCCTGTATAATTCAAGGTAATGTTCTTTGTTCTCTCTTAGTCGGAAAAATTAATCCGAATGGGTGTTTCTTATCCTTTAAGAATATTTATGTACAAATCTTCCTGAATTTCGTTCATGAATTTCATATACTATGTAATATGTTTTAAGCCGTACAATCTCAGGAGAGATTGTCTGTGCAAGAGTGAAAGTTCTATTTATTATTTTGTCTGGTATAACGAGAAACAGTGCATGTTCTACATTTTTTAACTTTTTAAATATTAAAGAAAAAAAAAAAAGAAAAATTGCTACTATGACTATGCTGCGCACTGAATCAATTTTTCAATTTATCTACATGTCTTGGTGCCTTTGATGTTAAAATCAATTTTGTGCCAGTTGAGAACTTGATTTGTCAAATCGATAACAAAGTAACCAATACTGAAATTATCGCATTCCAAATGCCCGTTATATTAAACATGGACGAATTCAATAAGTTGCGTTGTATCGAAATTTTGGGAAAAGAAGATATATATCTAAATTTATCCCGACAACGAGTCATGCTTTCGTTATGGCCTAGTTTTCAACGATAGCTGCAGCAACAAAATCATAGAAGCTGCTCAAAATTGGGCTCCAGTCAATTGAAAATTGTTGCGATTAGATTTTGTACGAACATATATATAGTTATACAATTTTACGGTTTACGTGTTATGTCTAAAATTACTTTAATGCATTTTTTATCTTTGAATATTAGTAAAATTTAAATTCCTTTATCTGTAACTATTATTATTATTATTATTTATACATATTGAGTTACTGTTATATACCGTACCTATGAACACTAGTGAATATGTCCCAATCCTCATAAATACGCTGGACACTATTGTAAATGGAGATAATATGCTGTTTAAGTAGTCCACCACTTGAAGTGGTTTACATACTTCACGTCGCTGGCGAGTATTGTATTTTATTGATGTTATAAAGATTACCATTTCTTTTCCAACCTCCATTTTGGTTATTCCTCATTCAGTAACCCTTTCTAGGTTACAACAGTTTTCAAACCAATGAAAAATTTGTTTGTGCAACTCTCTTCCAGTGTCTTGCTTTCCTGTCAGCTACAATCTTCAAAAATTTAACCGTCATCATTCGTCTCCTTGAATTCTGTTCTTTTTATTGTAGTTTTTCTTCAGTAATGTTTTCTCAATTTCCTTCACACATAGGATCAGCTTGCGTCATAATGGCCTTATCGCGTTGCTTCGGGGGAAATGATTTGTTTTGTTTTTTTATGTGACATCAAATGTTTGTAATAATCCACTATTCTTCAGAGTATTTTAACTTATTTTTAGTAGCGCTGTTGTCTGGATGTCCAGCTTGACTAATATGCAAGACTCTTCCACGCACACCAGTTATGATGGATATAACCGCTACCTTCACGCTTCACAAGTTTTCCGTTAATCTGGCAGTGTCTAAATATGCTTCCAGATTTTTTTTCTTTCGATTTAAATGTGCTGTTTGCTGGAACAGCAACGTCTGAAAATCTAAAACACATTAGAAAATAGAAGCCTTGATGAGTGTAATCAAATATGGCAAACAGCCAGTTATCCACCCGCGATTGTCCCACGGAACAAAAGATAAGTGGATTATCAGTGGTCTCCCATTTGGTGACACAGTAATTGTAAGTTTAATGATACTTGGACTCAGTGGAAAAGAGACAAGTAGTAACTGAGCTGTACTAAATAAGAACTAGACAGTAAAACGAGAATAATCTCTCCGGCAAATTAAATAAAGTGTTGAGGTGGAAATTCCTTGAAGGTTACCCGGATGAATAAGAACCTGATAAAGGCTGGAGGGTAATAACACCACAATAGGTCGCATTTATAATAATGCAATTGTTCTTTGCTTTGTTCACGATTACATGATATGGTCTTTTAGCCATGATACGGGGAATTTCAAAATTTCCATTGAATTTAACTTTTTTCTTCGCTAAGGGGATTCTGGTTGGTGCTTAAGCCACTTCCCTGTGTGGTAGAATTCTTTATTATGGGTATTTTTCAGTGTGCCCACATCGCTACCGAATGAGATACAAGGTCAGTTTAAAATGGGTTTAACGACAATACCGTGGAAAAATCGGCCTACCCCACCTAGAAGCATCCCCTTTTGGCGACATCTCAAGCGCCAGACAATAAATCCAGCACCCTTCCAAAGTAGAAGTACTGACTGGCTTAATATTTTTTAAAACTTTTCCAATTCCATTCTATCACAGAGTTAGTGACAGTTTCTATTTCGCCGAAGGCTACAAGGAATTTGCCTCAAAATTAGCAGTTACTTGTTCATGGCTTTAAAAGCTGATTTATTACATGACAAGTTTGGAAATGTATTTTTATTTGCATTTTTGATACTATTAAAACTCTCGGGCGGGGCAAGAAATAAAAGATGTATATAATGCGTGGCTTTTACGACTAGAATAGATGGAACAATCACACGAGGGATTAGGCAGATTACATCAGCAGACTGAAAAGTTTGATTTGCACTACAATGCAAAGAAAACTGAGCTACAAGCCACCAACCAGGAAAGTTAAAGGTGGCTAAATATTGCAGACAGTAGACAACTTTAAGTACATACTTTCATGGACACAAAGCTTTGAAACAGATTTGAATGCAACAAAAGCTCCTGACTGGACTGCATATCACATATTGCAAATGTATGGAGCTCCCAACTACATAGATTAACAAATACGATTAATTTGTGTGGAATCAACGCATAACTTAGTGAGTTTGGGTAAATAGATGGCAGAAAAGGTTTAAGAGAAACAAGAAGGCGTGTTATTTCTTACTCTATGGACCAGAAACTTGAACTACGACTGTTCAGTCTGAATTCGGACGACCGGCTGATCATTTGAACTCTCTGCCTTCGGGCGGGGAGGAACCTGAACGAGGCTACGTCGAAGGGCGGGGTTTCTTTCAGGGAGGTAAACCGACCCTGAATCCATTTATACGGGCTCGGATATCCCACGGGCTCGGAGATCCTACGTTAAACCGGCCTTGTGCCACATGATGCCCTCGTGGGTGGGTGACTAAATACTGTTCAGTCTGAAGTCTGGAGTGAGGCCCGTTAGAAGTCCGTCAGGAGTCTGTCAGTCAGTCAGAGCGAGCGAGTCAGTCAGTCGAGTCAGAGGCAGTCCGAACAGAGTCGCGTTCAGACAATTACTACTAAATCTGATTGTTCGTACTAACACTTTCTACTTATATATTCCTGTTTGTAATATATCTGTGTTATTCCATATACGTGTTCGAGTTCTTCTTTATTGGTTCTACCTTGGACTATGTCCATGGTACAAGGAACCGAACCATAACAATAACATAAGGCAATATCAATGGTACAGGGTCTTATGGCCACATGACGTCGAAACACTAGTTCCCGTACGATCACCGAAGTAAAGCAACGTTGTCACTGGTTAATATCTAGATGAGTGACTGCTTGGGAATACCAGGGGTTGTATAATTGGATGCGAGGGTGGTGCAATAGATAAGGACTCGGAATTGTTAATGTCGATAACGGGTATGTCCTCATTCACATAAATACAGTAGTAAATACTGTATATTGGTCTGCAGATGGAGATTAATCTCCAGTTGTGCTGGTCAAACTCTCTGTCTCCGGGCAGTAAAGATCCTCAGACGAGGCTATGTCGAAGGGCAGAGTCCCGTCTCGGAGAAACAGCTACCCGACACCGTTTTATACGGGGTCTACGGGGAATTTTTGGCCAAGCCTACGGGCTCGGATATCTCCACATTTAATTCGGCCTTGTGCCACATCTGACTGCGTGGGTCGGTTGGTAGATATCCTGCCGTTGGAGATTCGTCTCCGGCTGTGCTGGTCAAAGTCTCTGGTCAAAGGCAGACAGGATCCATAGGCGAGGCTATGTCGAAGGACAGAGTCTCGTCTCGGGAAACAGCTACTCGACCCCGTTTTATAAAGGGGCTTAGGGGAATTTTTGGCCGAGCTTACGGACTCGGGTACCCCCACATTAAATTCGACTTTGTGCCACATCTGACCGCGTGCAGCGGTTAGTAGATATCCTGCAGTTGGAAATTCATTGTGGAATTCACTTGACTCACTTCTAGCAGTTGATTACCACTTCTACGCGCCACTGGCGAAACTTATATGTGTTGTTCTTGTCCTAAGTATTATCGTTCATTACCAACTTTCGTGTGATTTTTCTATTCAGTAACCTTCCCTAGGTTACAACAGTTAATCGGAGAGCCAAGTTCCAATTCCTGTCGGGTTCATTATATTATCTTACGAGCAAATACCCTTGGAAAAGTAAGAATCCACATCGTCCCCCCCAAACTATGGGTTAATTAGTAAAGGATTGATAAGCCGTAAAAAAAGATTCCATAAAAAAGACGAAAGATACAGTGAAGATGGATTTGTCTTGTAAGACATTGTATTAAGTATGATGTCGAAGTTGACAGCAAATTAGGATTCTTGTAGCTAAGCGAGAAAGGAACAAGAAGAGAAAGAAGAAAATTTGCATTCGTAAACACACTGCTAGAGTACCCAGCGATGGATCCGATGCAAGATGGCTAAAGTCCCTCATGGTAGACAGTACTGAATGGAAAGGGCATTTGGATGCTATGGGACGTCCCGTCTATCGATCTAGTCTAGTCTAGTCTCCAGTGATAAGAACTTATTTACAGCAGAGAAATGTCTCTTTTTTTCTCAAATTTGAAAGAAAAGACTACAACCTTTTTTATATGCCGTGTCTCTTCAGCAATATTTATTTCCTTTAATGTCCTTCAAAGCCCTTGATCTGTCACCCATTCACAAAAGCTCGTTAGGTTGCTCACTGTTTCCGCCTGTCTCTCTTGCCTTCAATATGTCCTATGAGTTTCAAATTCTCCAAACCCTCTTTCCTTTTGCCATATACTCATAGATACGATAAACTAAATCCGGTAGCAAGGCTTCTGATCGAGAGATCGAAGGTTTTGAGGAGCGTGGAACAAGCTCTTAATTAGTGTTGTCCCCAGGTCCACCCTAACCTGGAATGTTAGCACCTGTTAGGATCCCAACTATGAACAAATAGTGATGCCCCAAACAAAAGCCAAACACCATGTAAGTATATAAATACATGATTTTTATATAAGAAAATTACCAGTAATACATATTTATAGTTGAATTACCAGTAAAACATTTTTAAAGAAAATTTATCAGCAATGCATTTCTTGGTAGAATTACCAATGATATATTTTATAGTAAAATGACCAATAATATATTTTATCTGTAGCTGATGTCATAATATTGTGTTCAAAATCTTTAGATTTTGGCATTAAATAACCCAGCATTAAATTACCCTGAGAGATTGATATACCACTAAACAAAATCAACAAACCATCTTGCCAGAAATTTCAACTGTCTTATTTCTGATTTTATGTATAATTGTCCTTTTCGTTTCCATTTTTTCTTAAAACTTCCTAGTTGCTCACATGTTCTCTCCATGGCATTCTAACTATCCACCTATAGAATCATATGGCAACTTTCCTCTTCATCGGTGAGGAAAATGTCCAACGTTCACTGCCATACTGTTATTACATAGCAGTTCAGTACTCATGTCTTTGTTTCTAAAGAATTTTTACTTTTTCTCAGTACCTTCGAATAGGTATCATTTTTTTTTCCAAATAGTAATAGATATTTGTAAAAGTGTTCTTGCTAAAGAATTCCATAAATATCTAATTGAAAAAGGAGTTCTGTGAAAACTTAAAGAGAGAAGAAAAAAATCAGTAATATTTTAAAATGCATTCGTACTTTGCTTGTTTTTCATTTACTAATTTAATTGATGTTACTTTTTTTTTCTTTAATTTGGAATGGACGCAGCCAGCAGTGCTGTCCATCTCCTTGATTAGTGTTGTTCTCTGGCTAAGGCACAAATAAGAATTCAATCTCTTTGCACTAAATGGCAAGACTTGATGAAAGTAACAGTCATTTATTTTCGGTATAAGCAGACGGAAATCACCAGAAAAGAAGCTACCAACAATTTCGTTCAAAACAAACGAAAAATAATCCTTTTTTCTCTTCTTCCTTGTCATTCAGGTTTTACGTTTCTCTAACATCAACAACAGCAGCTGGTAAAGGTTTCCAATGCAGTAAGTAATCCGTTCGAAGCTTTTATCTATATATATATATATATATATATATATATATATATATATATATATATATATATATATATATCTTTTATCTATATATATATATATATATATATATATATATATATATATATGTATATATATTATATATATATATATATATTATATATATGTATATACATATTATATTATAATATATATATATATTATATCATATGTATATATATTTATTATACTATATATATATATATATATATAT